ATGGACATCCTGCTTTCTGGAGGGTAAAGCACCCCCTTGCTGCTCCCTACACACTGTCTCCACTGCATTGCCTGTGCATCTGGCAGTGGGTGCAGTGGCCTCTGGTGGCCTTTTGAAGACAAGCAGTGGTGCAAGTCCTGACTCCCCTTCAGCAGGCCTGCTCTGATGTCACCTAGTTGGGAGTAGGAGTGGCAGCTAGCTCCTTCACTCAGCTGGCCTGGCTGGTGTTTGGCTGGTGTAGAGAGGTTACTCTCTGAAAGCTTTCCATCTTGCTAGGTGACCCCTTTTCTGGTTCTTTGTGGCTAGAGAGAACTGGCTTCTGTTAGGGTTTTTATTGTCTGTACCCATCGGCGTTGTATGGTTGCTGACTTCTTCAGCTCCAAGTCTGGGCCAGGGGACACAGCACCGTGTGGCTTTGTGGGTCTCTAGGTCCCTCGCTGGTCTTCCTTCTGCTCTCTGCCTTCCAGAGTCTTCTTATGTCTGTTTTTTATATAATGTCCAGAGTTTTTAGTTGTAGTTATTGGGAAGAATCAGGACAAACACTTCTACTCCATCTCCCTGAAAGTGGCGCTCTATGTATTTTTCTAAATGGTGACATTTTCCACCCTAAGAACATTAAAGTGGGCGAAAAAATACTGAAAATTGAGAAGCAGGTATGTTAAAACTCATGCCACCGTTTTAGGTTTAAATATTTCATATACCAAAAACATGAATTATAATTTTATTTTCCTGACTTAATGGAAGCAAACTCATTAAAACATATTTTTCCAAATCTACTTCTAGAAAAAGACTAACCATTAAAAAGACACCAGCAGGGCACAGTGGCTTACATCTATAATCACAGCAATTTAGGAGACTGAGGCAGGAAGATCACTTGAGCTCAGGAGTTTGAGACCAGCCTGGGCAATATAGTGAGACTTTGTCTTTAGTAAAAATAAATAAAAATTAGCCAGGCATGGTGGTGTGCAACTATAGTCCCAGCTACTCAGAGGTTGAGGCAGGGCGATTTTTGAGCCTGTGGGGTTGAGGCTGCAGTGAGCCAAGGTCATGGCACTTCACTCCAGATTGGACGAAAGAGCAAGACCCTGTCTCAAAAAAAGAAATGTAAAAAATACAATAAATAAAAATAAAAAATACACCAAAAAAACCCATGTATATGGGGCACACATGATTACTTTTGCATGAGGCTTCAATATGGCGAGGCATAGCTCCATCGGATCCTGTCTTTATTTAAAACTGTTCATTGTGGATTTTTTTCTGATAGACTTTGATTTTTAAAAAATATTGCAGCTGGGCGCGGTGGCTCACGCCTGTAATCCCAGCACTTTGGGAGGCCGAGGCGGGTGGATCACGAGGTCAAGAGATCGAGACCATCCTGGTCCACATGGTGAAACCCCGTC